GTAGAAAGTTCACTTCAAGACAGAGGTGTAAGGGGGCTGGAGATGTGGCTCTTACAGAGGAACCGGGTTCAATTCCCAGCACCCACATGGCGGCTAACAACCATCTGTAACTCCAGTTTCAGGGGAATCCAATCGCTTCTGACCTCCACAGGCATTGCATGACACAGGTGTACTTACATGAAGGTGTAACACTCATACACATAAAAAAAAAAAGATAGAGGTGTAAGTAAGGACTTTCTCAACAGGACCCTAACCGCTCAAGAAATAAGGCCAATAATCAAAAAATGGGATCTCATAAAATTAAAAACTTTTGTTCAACAAAGGAAATTTTCGGCAAGTGAAAGAGATAGTCTGAGGATGAATGAAATGCCCTTATGGAAATGCACTATTTTGTAAGCTTATTAAAATATGTAATTTTTTTTCAAAAAGGAGTTTGAACACAGGTATCCTGCATAGATGCAATATGCTTCCCCTAGAAGACATGACGTTTTTAAATAAAAATCCTCCTGCCAGGTGTGGGATACCTCCCTATGAGTTATTATTAGGGAGGCCACAGAGGCCCCCAAATAACACAGGCTATTGCTATTGCTTTGGATGCTCATCAAAAGCGTTTGTTAAGACCCCATTGCTGAAGACAATACTCTTTGGTTGCAAGACAGAGAAATGAAATTGCAACTAACTTCTTCCCTGCTGGCTAGTTTTCATAGTGCTTAAAGAGTTAGGTATAAGCCACTGGAGGAGGAAAAAGTCATGCTTGGTGTTACCCACCATAGAACCCTGAAGGCTACAATACCAACCCTCCAGGCAAGATGTGCTCACTGGTACAAGAGGCATGAAGGTTATGAGGGTAACTACTTTCTGACCGGATTTGAGACCTACTCCCCAGGACGGAATTCATGCATGGTATTATAACAATCAAAAGCCCACAGGCCCTAGGCCAGAATCTACTACAGCTGTTTGGCTAAATGGACATATTTCAAACTATATTCTAAACATCTACGCTTGACCCATAGACTAGTGCTGCTCTCAACCTTGGCCAGAGATGTATCTGCAGTGGGCAGTAGTTAATGCAGAGACTCATGACTGGTCAAAGTGCTAAAAATCAGTGACTGTGGGTACTCAGCCCTAAATGGGACACCTATATTTTCCCCTCCCCAGGCTCAGGGAACATTGTGGAAGAAGGGTGGAAAGCCTATGAAAAGGCACAGGGTGGGGAGGAATGCTGTGAAATGCTGTTTTCTGGACATGGCATGGTCACTGCACTCATGAACTCCCTGCAGGTGTGGCTACCTGTACAAGGTCAAGCCAACGTTCCACCAGCCAGAATTAATAAGACTGAGTGGGCTACCCCCAAAAGGGGGTAAAGGTGTGATGGAGATGTGTTAGGGGATGTCTGGGGGAGTGGGAGGGAGGAGATGGGGGTAGGATATGACCAAGATACATTGTATACATATATGAAGTTTCAAGTAAATAAAATGTATTCTAAGTAAACTGCTAAGTGGTGTCGCACATCTTTCATTCTAACAGAGGCAGGAGGAATTCTGAGTTTGAGGCCAGCCTGGTCTCCATAGTGAGTTCAAGGTCAGCCAAGGCTAGATAGTGAAATCATGTCTCAAAAACAAACAAAACACCCCAAAATAAATATTTCATTTAATATTTTATTAATATTTCCCAACTTATTTTTGGCTCAGTTTTATTCCTTTCAATTACAGAATCTGACATATATAAACATGCAGTTAAATAAAATAAAGCAAATAGTCTTACAATCACCAATAAAGGAAAATATTAAAAGGTGATAGCACCCTAGAGCCATTTCTGACCTTGGCCCCAACTGTACCAAAGCTTTCTCTCTCCTCCAGTGGTGATCACTAACTTTACGTTAGTAGTCTTTTCATTCTCCCTATTAATAGTCTTATTAAGTACACATCTTTAAAAGTTTTAAACATTTTTATAGAGAATGTACATACAAAAAAGTACACACAAACTTAGTGGATTCTCAAACCAAACACATTGTTGTGCTCAATACCTCAGATTTACAAACACAGAACTAGCAACATTCCAGAAGTTTCTTTCATAAAGTTACTATCTTCCATCAAAAATAATAATTATCAGCCGGGCATGGTGGCTTACGCCTTTAATCCCAGCACTCAGGAGGCAGAGACAGGCAGATTTCTGTGAGTTCAAGGCCAGCCTGGTCTACATAGTGAGTTCCAGGATAGCTGGGGCTACCGGGAGACCCTGTCTCAAAAAGACCAAAATAATAATAATAATAA